CCCCAGCATCCCACCAGGAGGGATGCTCTGCAAGGCTGGAAGGTCCCCCCCAGCCCCAGCATCCCACCAGGAGGGATGCTCTGCAAGGCTGGAAGGTCCCCCCCAGCCCCAGCATCCCACCAGGAGGGATGCTCTGCAAGGCTGGCAGGTCTCCTTTCTCGCCCCTCACCCAGGGCTTCCAGCAAGCACCCTTCCCAAGCCAACTCTGGTGTTCCCGTCCTGCCCATCCAGCTCAGGTGTCCTGCCAGGGCTGCAAGCATGGGCTGCCCCTCACTTGCAAAAGCAGAAGGGACAACCAGCGTCTTGCATCCAGGGACAGCGTGTGATCGGCAGCTCCGTGCCTGTGACTTAACCCTGCCGCAATACTCGGAAATAACAGCTTGTGATTAAAACGTATAGGCACATATTTCTGGCTAATTTAAACAGGGTTGTTTTTTTTTTCCCACTGATAAAAGCAGATCCTGTTTACACTGGTTTCCTCCCAGTGACCCCACTCTCCTGCCTCCATACATTGTGATGGGGACTGACCCCAGTGTTGAGCAGGGGCTCTCCCTCGGCTCCTTTCTGCTGTACACAGGAAATATTTCCTTGGAGTGTGTTTATCCATGATTTTTCAACTTTTCTTTCTTAAAAAAAAATACTTTAAAGGGCAGTCCAAGTGGACGGTGAGGCGATTTAACTGTTGCTCTGTCAGAGCATGCGAGATCTGTTGATTCATTGGATCTGAGAGTGGACAAAAAAAAGATAACAGTACATTTATTCCGTTATTTTCCTTGACAATCATTGCAGGAAATTATTTATTTTTGATCTTTCTTATTTCTTTCATGCACTTTTCTCTTCCTTAAGATTTTGCCCTCCTTCCTAGGGTATTTGACCCTGCTGGGAACAAGCACAGTAGAGCAACTGGAAAACACAAGCAAATAGAAACAAATACTGTACAAGAAAAATGTTCAAAAGGCTGGTTTTGCTTAAAAAAATCCACCCAACAAACCCTTTAATTCTTTTTAATGTGAATTAAAAAAAAAAAAAAAAAAAGCCCGAGCACCCAACACTTGAGGTCAAATTACTCATTTTCCTTATGTTTTGATGAAAACATGTTAACCACCAAAATGAAGTGCTGGGATGCTAAACTCAGCATGGGATGATCTCAACCCATGGAATTTTGTAGCTGTATCTTTGCAGCTACACAGATTGCTGTCTAGATAAATATATCTCATCTAATCTATCCAGTGACATACAGAGATAAAGAAAACATGTGCCTTTCTCCAAAGTTAAGACTGGACTGAGCTTCTCATGTGCAGTGGGATTTTAACCACCTTTTTGATCAGAAAAGAGAGGTTTCTCCCAAATGACGTGATAGCAAATGCTGTTAGGGTGAAGATGGCATCTACCCTGCTTCTTGCCCTCCTTGGGTGAACTCTCCTCCTCTCCTGATCTCTCCACTCTCAGGAAGCCAAACACAAGTTGGCCGTGTTGCTGAGAGGCGGGAGGTGGCGTGGACGAGAGGGTTTGAATGGGATGCAGGGGTGAGATAGCTGGGCTGAAGGTGCACCTTTTGGTGGGGTTAAGGCTGGGGCTCCCACCTCGTGTGCTGCTCAGGACTGATGGGCCTGCCCCAACCATGCATAAAACCTTTGGGGTTGCACTGATGTCTTTCCCCTCCTGACTAGGGCAGGGAGAGACTACATCCTGTGCCATCACCGCAGCTCAGCAAGCAAACGTCAACTTATTAAGATCCAGTTACCTTATTGCTTTCCATCTGTCTCCTTGATTCAGTCTAAACCAGGGCTATTATGGTTGATTTGAGCTAATGAGGAACAGGTTTATACTAACGCACTTAAATCCAAATAAAAGTGCTTGGGTAGGTCTGCATGGAAGAACTGAAGGGCTTGAAGTAAACACACATGGAGATCTGCAAGCGCCTGGGACCTTGCCAATATGTTGGGCTTGAACTGGAAGGAGGTACAGATCCTTCCTCTCTTGATGTGTTACATCTCTTTCCTCCCTCTTATTTTTACCCTTTTTTACCCTTTTGGGGCAGAGTTTATCCTAGGACTTGGGTAGTGCCATATAGCAGTGTGAACACGGCTTTTTAAATAAAAAGAAAGGCACGTACACCTGATGAAAAGTGTTTGTCACACTGTAATTACATTACACCCGAGTCTTGAAAAGGAAAGGCAAATTTTCGGTGAAAAAAAACCCCACAGCTTAAAGGACATCGATCAACATTTGCATGTACTCCAGGTTTATACAAGGCACACCATGGAGAGTCATGTCCTGGGTGCACCCTCGCTCTGCAAAGCTGCAGTGCAGCTTCCTGCAGCATCTCCCAGGTCCAGAGCCGGGAGAGGTGGATCTTGCTCACATTCGATGCAGAATAGTGCTGAAATGATAATATTTAAGTGATTGTAAAGACAGGCTTGCCTTGCTATGGGCAGGTGATTCAACAGTCCTCTGGGAAGATGAGATCAGTCTTTGCTGCATGTCCCTCTGAGGCTCTATCCAGCTGGAGGTCAGTTAGCTCTGCTGGCTCCTATGTCCAGCTGACCCCTGGTCTTCAAGAGTATTAAAAATGGGCTAGAAGTGATGCAAACCTGTCCTTTGCAGCACCCAACATGGGGCTCTGGAGAAATTCCAGATAAGGACAGTAACTGGGAGAGGTAACGGGCAAAACATGGACTGGACATTGTCAGAGAACATTTGTGGGGAATTTTAATTATGGTTAAGGATGGGGGGTGTGTGAATTGTCCACCTTTGTTGGTGTTATGATGATATTATTTTGACTTTGGTGTAGGGAGTTCTATTTTTTTTGTTGATATATGTGAAGTTTGTGAAGATCATGTGATGAATGTATCTTTTAATGGTAGTGTTGTATTGTTGCAATTTTATTTGGAGTCTATGAAAAATCAGGCAACACTTTGAATGTTTATGTCTTAATTAATGAGGTGAGAAGGATAAAGAGAGGAAACAGCGTATATTAGCTGACTGATAAAGGTTGGGGAAAAGAAAGTCAGCTAATCCTCTTGTGACATCTACCTAAAATTGCCCAGACATGTATTATATCTTCCCTTTCCCCTTGCCTTCCCGGTCCCCCGAACTATCTCAGCCACTATCACATCAACACCGTTACTGCATTTACTATGTTTGCCAGTTTTCTGCTTTGCGTGTGAACGTGTCTGCTTTGGGTTTGGTTTGGTTTTTAACTGTTTGCTACCCTACTGGTGGCCATCAGTGGTCCCCAGATGACACGTGGGAGGGTCAGTGGTGAACTGAGCCAAGCCCCTTTACTGAAGATGGAGTTGCCTCTTCCAGAGCCACCCTTCATGGTGGCTTTCTCCTCTTACAGTGGACCGCAATGCCTCCCCATCCTCTCTGGTAGAAAGTTTCCCCTGGTCTAGCCAAAACTTTCTTTGCTGTTATTTCATGGCTTGTTGCCAGCTAGCACGGAGAGTAATTTATTACCTTCCTCTTATGGGTTTTAATTTTATTTTGGGGCAGCTGAATAGAAAAAGGCAAAATAAAGGGAAAAAGGAAAAAAAAAAAAAAGAAGGAAAGGAAAAAGGTTACCAAGCACATTAACTCCTTATTTCTGACCACTGTCTTAGTGCAATAAAGGTGCTTTTAGAGAGCCTGGCTGTGGTTAACAGCAAAGACTCTCAGGAGCAGAAATTATTTTGACTTACTGGGTGTAAGAGCTGACACA